GATTGGCCGAGGCCCAGGTAAACTGGCCGCTGGGCGCGCAGAGAGGCCGCCCTGAGCCACGTGCGAACCTCGGATGGCTCAGACTAGGATTTGTTCCACATCAGAGCTATTCGGGGCCCCCTGGTGGAACACAGTGAAACTTTGCTCTTTACAGTACTTGACTTGAGGTAGCATTTTAGACTTGGAAACCGAGGATGAGGTAGGTTGGGAGACTTGCCCGGAGATCATGCAGAAAAGAAACCAGGAGTTTTTGACTTGATCCTTTTGTTATTCCTACCAGTGTGACCATGCACAACCACTTAGCCGGTCTCTGCTTCCTTATCTTCTGTAAAATGGGAATGGCGATTGTCGCTGCATGGTAGGATTGTTGTGAATATTGAGTTCTTGTATATATGGTGATTGGAACGGGCCTGGCAACAGTGAGCTCTGTTTATTCTTTCACCCTCTGGCTTGAAGATCTGATCCTTAGGACTGAGGGGTTAGATGCGGCTCAATTCTCAAAGCAGAACTCCTTTTAGTCTTTTCCTGGGTTATTCCAGTCTGGCTTCTGGCCACAACTTTCCTGGCCCTCTTATAGGTTAAATTCACATTCTGCCTTTTGGTGAATTCTCCAGCTGACTCAAGAAGCAGCATAATTCTTTCACACTTAGAGCCAAGAGGATTGTGCATTGAGTGAGCTCAGCCCACAGCTAATTTCCCTGGTCCCTGGAATGATGTGACTTCGTGCACCACACACACATACTCATGAACTCACTCAGAAACACCTACGTCCACATACACACAGCCTCATCTGTGCACTCAGACATGGATAAGCACACACCTCATGCTCAGTACCCATGCGCAGCTACAGTTACACGCACAACATTCCTTGGTCTGTCAGCAAGTGTTTTGTGTAGGAAGTTTCTTAAATCATTTTCTTGAATTCAAAATGATACAGACTCATTGTAAAGCAAAATAGAAGGAAACCAAAGTGGGCATAGTGACACATTCCTGTAAGCTCAGCACTCTGGGAGGCTGAGGCAGAACTGCAAGTTCCAGCCCAGTCTGGGAAAATTAATGACTTAGCAAGACCATGTTTCAAAATTAAAAAAATAAAGAACTGGGAGTGTAGCTCCGTACCCTGGGTTCAGTCCCTAGTACTGCAAGAAGAAAAAAGAGAAAGAGGAAGGAGGAAGCCACTCATAATAACATCATCACCCAGTGATGAAAACTGCCATTTGGAAGCGTCCACCTCACTTTTTCTCTGAATA